GAGAATTAGGCTTGGGGTTGATTAATGATTGTGCATTGAGTCCGCTATACAGAATTTTATTGTTGTTAACAACCATTTGATCAATAAATATGAGAGATGGCCTCTCAAAAAAATAAATAAATAAAAATAAACTGGGCCTTTTAGCAGGATAAGGTAAACTTTACATTGTCATGGTGTAACTGATAACAATTAAGTGATTGTTTATGCTGAGATTCTTTTCTTTATCTGCAGAACACTCAAACATTCCAGGCCAAGTTGCTCCTGGCCTTTTGAGCCTTAAGTAATTTCACTGAAGAATATCTGTATTCCTAGTTATTCATACAAATCTGTACCCTAGAGAATTAGTGGGACTCTGACTTTGCATAATGCTTAGCACAGAATTTTGATAAGGACTTCTTTGCATTTTGTTACATTGTTCTGACTGCTCTTGCTCTGCTTTTTCTCAGGAGGCCCTCACCCTACTCTGCCTAATCCCATTGTCCCTGTCTCAATTCCATCTTAAAGACTGTATTTTAATACCCAGAAAGTTACAAGTGTAAGATTCTTAACTTACTCTTTAGCAAACAGACAATAACTCAGCCCACCTTGGGCGCTGGGCAGGCAAGGTGTTTAATACGCTCCCAGACCAGGATGCTGGTATCCCAGGGAGAAATCAGAGCAGAAAGTTCCTTGTTTTAAGTTAATTGTAAGTATTCAAAGGCCATTTAACAAGTCTGCACTCCCAGCCCTCAGTCACATTCCTTAAGAATTCTTAAGAGGGGGAACCCCCCAGCCTTTCTGCGCTCTCCTCTCTCTGAGGTCGCCCACACTTTGTCAGTGCGTAACCTTTTAACTTTAAACTTTCTCTTTTTTCAACCTTTCAGGAGTGCCTGAAAGAAAGACTGGGGCATATAATAAAATTATAAATATTCTTTCTTAAAAAAAAGAAGGTGAAAGAGAAAGAATTAGAAAGAGAAAGAGGAGATAAGAAGGATAAAGAAAAATTGGAATATTCTTCCAAAGACAAGAAGTAAAAAGATGAATGTACCACGACAAGGAAAGAAAGGTAAAACATTTCTCATTTAATGTCTATTCTAGTTTCAAATTTTGGATTGATGTTTCATTTTGTAATATTTTCATCTCTGATGCCAACAAACTGGAAAAGTATTTTTTCATGATAAGCATGTTTCTCTCCTGCCTGCAGGAGGCAGAATTAGCTGGGAAATGAGGCAGTTAGTTGGCACTTGGCTTAATTAACTGTGACATCATCCCTTAACATGGTTCACGTGGTACCTTAGCCTTAGATTAGTGCAAGAATGAAGTTCCCATATTAAGTATCAAATCTAAGTGTTAAATAACTAACAGCTCACTAAATCTTCCTTGTTGCCTGCAATGTAAGCATTTCTTGTGTTGAGGCTGCTACCTATAAACAAGTCTCCCAGTCCTGTCTTAAAAGGATATTTTGTACAGAGGCCATAGTATCTTGCTCCTAACTTTAAGTCTTCATTCTCATCAAAATTCATTTCTCTCTTAGTCTTTATTCTTTTCACACTACCTAAACCTCTGACTTAGTAGATAAAATGGCTTCAGTTAAGAGAACTGAGGTTTTCCTAATAAAAACTAAGCGAATACAAAGAAAAATATTCTGGCTTAGTCAATATAAAGGTAGTTACATATAGCATAGTTATACTAATCAATTAAATAATAAATCTATCACTTTTTTGTTTTTTACCACTTTTTTGATATAATTTCAGATTTGTAGAGAA